GATGCAGCCTCCTCCGAGAGGGAGGCCTTGCAAGGCCACAGCATCAGGAGATGCAACTTCCTCCGAGAGCATCAGATTCAGCACTGGTTGCCATAGAAACGAGATGGAATAAAAACAAAGAAAATACCCAGGGGAAGCTTCAAATATATATTTGTACATACGCGCGACCAAAACAAGTTTGGCTGGTTAAGGCGAGTGACGCATTTAGGGTGTCAAATTAATAGCAAAAAATGAAAGGAAAACAAGGAAAGTTTGTTGAGTTTTGTTAAAACACATTTAGAGTACCCTTGCCTGGAAAACACATTATATTCTTACTGCCCCCCCCCGAGTAAATTAGGGTCGTACGACAATATTATCATGTGTTAACAAATGTCTTAATTCCACAGCTTTTCTGACAATAGCTTAGGATTTCCTGACAGACTGCTTAACCCTAATAAGGCCGGGGGCATTATGCCCCCCTCCACAATTTTTCTGATTGTTCGGGAACGCATTTGGATGGCGACCCGCCGCTCGCAGACTTTTTTCTTTCGAGTCTTGCGCATCTTTTAAAAGAATTATTTTGAAAATCGGTCCTACAGTTACAAGGTCACGTAATCTTTTGTCTTTGCATGTTTGCCCGAAAATGGCTAATTTTCGTGATTTGTGTACAAAACATATGGAAATGTCATTTTTCCTAAAAATGATCAAACATTGGTTATTCGGTCCTGTTTAAAGTTAAGGTGGTTGTTTTGGTAGTCAAAATAGTTGAATTGTAGTTAGAAATGAATAAAACAACAAAACCAATGAAAGCTATAGAAATTATCAAAACAAGAGATAATACAAGGAATAAGCTGGCTCTTCCAAATTTGTTGTCGTATTATTGATCCAAATAGTCTAATGAATATCTGTAGTGAAAAAGAATGCTAAATATGAATATATTTGGATTATGGGTAAAATGTGATTTGTATGACCTTATTTGCATAAATTACCATAAGTATGCAAATTAGTGAATTTTTCAAAAATGTGAAATTATCATAGTATTCTATACACTTCACTGGACATGCGTGCAAATTTTCGCGGAGATCGGCCGTTTCACGGCCAGGATCTTAAGAGGGGGCCACAATGCCTCCCCCCGCCGTATATAACACCTCAAATAGCCCAGCCTTTTTAGGGTTAAGGGGGCGGTCAAAACTTTTCAAGCATTGACGTCCCTGGCTGACTTATGTACTTACAAGTGTCCAATGCATCTTGCTCTTCAAAATTTTGGCGCACACCATACTGGTTGCCACAATAGCACAGAGCACAAGAGCTACTTTGATCATCATCTTGACTAGTTTAGCTTGGGAAGCAGCCTGCAATATGTGAAAGGCTATTCTGTTTGGTTTAGCAAAAGAAGAACAAAGGAAACGAGAATTGGGAGTCATTCCTATCTTGCCGTTCCGTATTTCTGTGCTGAATTCCTCGAAAACGTTCGTCCTTATTATATTGCTAGAATATGGGAAGAACTGAATAGAATAGCATTTTTCTATTTTCAAACTCTGAAACACCGTCGGTTGGAATTTTTTCCCCCAAAATGTAAAACGCATAAGAAATCGCGTTTGAATGGTGAAATGCAAATTTTGCATAGTTAATTTTATAATAAAAAAGAGCCCATCCCGTTAGTACTCTCGTTATATTGGAAATAGTTGCCAATCTACGGATTTTTCAAACTGAGATGAGTATCAAACTTAAGAAGGTTGTCATTTAAAAAAATCAGTGTAATTATATTCAACACGATTTTCTGAAGATTCGCTTTCACGCATTATCACATGATCTGAGGTATTTCCTTTTTATGTTGTATTTTCCATGATACAAATTTATTTAGGTCTATATTTAACGAATAAAATCAATCAATCAATTGGTCGCTTTTTCCACCCTAGTTTGGATAACTCCTAGACTTATCAAGCTTTGGGTTACCAATTCCCGGATTAATTGGGTTAAAATCATTTTCACTACATTGCTATAATTTCTGAACGATATTAATGAGAAGTTAGCTTGTTAGTATCTAAGCTCATAACTTTGGACAGGGGCAGTGCAAATTTATTTATTATTGCCCAGGCTGCCATAAAAAAAAAGAAATTCCTACTTACGCCGCCGACTTTAGAGATAGATAGATGGGTGATGCTATTACAGTATATACGATTGCAAATACCTCCGCAAAAATCAAACTGAAAAGCTATTTCAATAGACTTGTCTAACACAGATTGAAATGTGCGAACTTAATAACGATGCATTAGGTAATCCGGACTTGATTGACTCATCCACAGGACCAAATCACCTCTACATGATTGATATCTTCATACACTGATACACGATTGTAGTCCGAAGACTAACAATATCATGATTATAAATATAATGGGAATCATGACAAATCAAGGGTAAAGATTAAACATCAAAGTTTTGAATTACAAGTTATCAAAACTATAAGGCAGATTGTAGAATATATGCATTGTATTGGTGAATAATAAAGAACAAGTAATATGCCATTTGAACGAAGCAAGATTTAGAAGTAGGCCAAAAAACATATTATCGAAAAATCAGTTTTGAACTGAAGTTCTGAAATAATAGTCTGCAAAGTAGAAAACAGATGCTTACCAATCTGGTGAGAAGGTTCTGAAAGCAGCTTGTTGCGGGCGAGATCAGCTCCTGAATTGATGACTGGAACCGATTATGGCTTCCCTTTTATGGAATTATTCCTCGCCACATTCCTCACCTGCGCCTCTTTGATCATTTTTGCGTGCGTGTAATGATTGATAGGACCGCTGGGGTTGGCCAGATGTTTTGATAACTGATAACTTTATTTTGATTTGAGAGACTTTGTATTCAATGAGAAAAAGAAATAAAGATATATGGGCGGATCATTTGAAAGTAGAATTAATCAATCTATCTCTTGTTCAACTATACTTCTTCATTAGGCTATAGATACACACGATCTTAGAAGTCATCAAGATCGGTTACACGTCTTTTTTTCCTCAAAGATTCATATTTCCGAAGGTGAATATTTGCCAAGGTCAGTTAGTCCAAAAGTTTATCAATCTGAAGGTTTCTTATTCCAAAAGATTGTTATTCAAAAGGTTTGTAGTTCCAAAAATGAAATAGGTTCATGATTCTGAAGGTTCCTTATTCCGAAAACGAGAGAGAACCCTGTTTCTAATTTTCGAAATTATGAACCTAATTTTGGCAGATTTAACAAACCTTCGGAAATGTGAGCTATCTATCATAGTGTTTAGCGTTAAATTATGTATCATATGAGAGGGAGCGTAGCGACCGGGGGAGTATGTTAAAAGAATTACAACTTGAGAGATATAGTGGGAGGCAGAGGTGCGAGGGAGAGAGGAGAGAGGGAAAGAGCGAGATGAGAGAGAGCAGAAAGAAGAGGAAGAAGAGAGGCAGGGTGAAAAAAAATTGAGTTCTTCTTGAGATTGGAATATTTGAAATTGCATCCTATAATTATATACATTTTCCTGCTTATTTATTTAGGAGAGAAGAAAGTGTGAATAACGGATTGGTTGAAATTTGAAGTTCGAATTTAATTTAGACTGAATTTGTATACACCACTTTCATGACAAGACATGCAAAAGTTTTAAAAATGCAATAATAGATTTCTTACAAGTCTATATAGTCAAGACAATAACATTGGACAATTAAAGGGGCGGCAAAGCGTATTTTTTTCAAAGTGGGGGGGGGGGGGCACCATAAAAGGGCACTATTTGGAAGAAAAAAAGACACCTACAAATGGTAACATCGAAGCAAAATATTTAAATATCCTAAAGCGTAGTTAATACATAATCAGGTAATTTGTAGCTTTTTGAGGTCACATAACGATTATTATTAGACGAACCTATCCAGATGGGGTTTTAAGCACAATCTCATAATGAAATAATATAGACCTTCAATGTGCTTCTTAATGAGATAAACTATAAATGTAAGCGAGCGAAGCGAGCTAGTTTTGGAGGAGATTTGAAGGGAAAATGCTCTCAGTCACTTTAAATTAAGGAAAATGTTAGGGAGGCTATGAGAAGTCTCTTGTTTCTGGGAAGATGAGGGATAATAACAACGTTTTTCATATAACACGTATCGTAATTATGTCTCAGTCTTTTTAACATGAATGACATTTGGTAATGGAAATGCATTTGAGTTGAGTTTGAAAAATCAAACGTGGTCTCAAACTTTATATTTTTGAACAAAGGTCAATTGATTACCTTGGCTTAGGCAAGGAACGTTTTATAGCTTTAGAAAAGGAACGCGGTTGTTGTTCTAAAAGGGGCACACTTCGTTCTTAAGAAATGTGGACATTGTGCCCCCTGCCCTTCTCCCGGCTCCACTACCTTTCTTGTAGTAGAAGCAAAAAGTTTCCAGTTATTACACAAAACTGCTCCGATTCTTTGAAAGTGCCCTTTGATAAGGCATTAGTTCCTACTACCAAGTCCCTCGGAGATGATGACTTAAAGCCATTGCCCCCTGGTCACGTTAAAACCAACCAACCAACTAGATATGGGACTTTAGATGATCGCAAAAGGGCACAATTTGTAAGCGGGAAATGTAGGTAAGACAAATGATGGGCACTCACATCAATGGCCAAACACATCAAAAGTAATAAGGAAAACTAATCAGATGTGAAAAGTGGCATTTATTAGAAGGGGAAAGGGGCAGTTATTAAAAAGGGAAAATGGGCACTATCAGAAGGGAATAGGACATTTCTCATACCTAAAAGAGGCACTCATCAGTAGTGGAAAGGGCAGTTCTTTGATGGTAAAATGCACTTATTACAAATGAAAAGGAGCATTTGTCAAAGTAAAGGGGAGAACTTATCAGATCTGGATCGGGGTACTTATCGGAGTTGAAAAGACGACATTTATAAGAAAGGGAAGGGACACTTTTTACAAAAGAAAAGGGTACTTATCGAAGAGAAAGGGTCAGTAATTGGAAAAGAAGATGGGCGCGTGTTAAAGTAGAATATACACTTTTCAGAGGTAAAAAGGGCACATCTTACACCTGAAGAGGGGCACTTATAAGAAGGCAAAAGGGACATTGATTAAAAAGAAAAAGGGGCACTTGTCAAAGTAAGAGGGGCATCGGTTAGATTAAAATATCAAATTAATAATGTATACACTTATAACCTCGACAAAATAATGACTATTATTTTTGTTTAAGTTCTCCATTAACAGCGGCGCCAGTCATCCACCATCAAACAACCTGCATACGATCTTTCCTCCGACTTGGCCAGACAAAATGATGAATGCCTATGCGTGCGAAAGACCTCCCGTCCGGGCCTCCCTTTACAGCGGCGCCAGCCATCCATCAACAAACAACCCGCATAAGATCTTTCCTCCAACTTGGCCAATTAAAAACGATCAATGCCTATGCGTGCGACTTTGAGAATATATCCGGCTTCACAAACGGGTAGACTCGGGTGGGGTTTCAAACTTTTCCGCACTCGGATTTTATCAAAGCAATCCATTATTTAATAGAATACTACAATGGGTCCTTTTAATACTTATTTATGTTGGTTATAGCCTAGCTTTATATTGTTCATTGTAAGTTTCATAAGAAAAAGACAGCTTTAATTTGTAGGTCATGGAATGTATTGTGTTTTTAATAGTTTTTATATATCATTTCATTTATTTATGCAGTTCTGAATACATAATAAAAATCAAAATACATTGAAAGATAATTTATATGAAGAAATATAAACCTATTTTAAACAGAACTATATGCCCTTTTTTTTTTAATTAATTGTTATTGTAATATTATTCCAACTTCAGTTTGAGGCCATTGTTGAGAATTACACACAAGAAGTTGGTTGGTGAATGTTGGGTAAATTTTCCTGAATATTTTAGACAGTAATCTTATAATTTGAAATGCGGCCTCAAAACCTCTGATTGTAATAAGGCCAAGTATAACAAATTACGTATTTCTCGTCCAAGCCCACACCAATTTTTGGTGGCGCTTCAATATTTTTGTTATTTTCAAAATTCCTTATTTGTTTTTCTTTTTAAATAGAATCATAGTTATACTTGAAGTCAGCGTTACATCAGGGCATTTAAAAGAAACAAACTTGTAATTGTCGGGTATAAAAATGTGTGCTTGTTAAATGTAAGTGTGCAGCAGTAAGTAGTTTTTACACTTTTTTTTTTTAGAAAAAGAAAACAGCTGTGGGCTTATATTACAAATGCTTTGGTGTTACTTTATTTATCTAATTTATATGTATTTTTTGTTATAAAAAGAGGGAAACATCCTAAATACAGTTCTATGAGCAGTAATTACAAAAACTAACAGACGCATTTTAAACTCGCTTTGATATGAAGAAAGTATTTTTAATTTAACTCAGGTTTGCTTGATACTACATCAAAAAAATGTGGTTGACCAGTATATGGCTACATACCGCTAAAATGATCTTATATCAAAGAAAGGAAAGTTCTTTGCATACAATTCCACTACTAACCAGTGTATTTTGCAACTATTCCTTTTGATACTGCCCCCTTATTCTAATGTACTGCTATTCCATGGCTACAATATGACATCATTTACAAAATGAATTAGCCCACTTTCTATTGATACTAAACAAAGTGAGGATCATTGAGTTTCCAAACTTTTATGAGGGGTTTATATCATGCTGATGTCCCAATGCTATACAGGTTTTAACAAGGTATTATTTGAATAAACGTCATCTAGCTTCTTTTATGTAGTTAAATTTGGCCAAATTGCCACCCCTTATATTCAACCATAATTATGCTTACTTTAAAATGGTTATCACCACTAGAACACAAGGCACAAAAATATCCATTTACCTATTTGAATACAAGTTTTCAAGACAACATGTTGTTGAATGTGTAGTCTGGATATCCATGATGTGTGATTAGGGTTAAGGAAATGAAATATTGTGCATTATCTTGGCCCTCCCATTTGTAGGTCCAGATACATGTATTTTGTCCATTATACACTGTCAAAAAAGTTGGGCAGATTTTACTGGGCAAATCAAAGTTGGGCAAATTTTGTCCAATAATTGGGTTTTTTCTTCCAACCATTTGCTATATATTTTACCTCATGAAAGGTAAAAATAGGTTGAGTAGGTGTGACAGGGCAATCGATGTTGGGCAAATGTCGTCCAACAATTGGGTTATTTCCTACCAACCATGTAGGTGCCGATGAAATAATTAGGTAATGTTATTGGGTAAATTAAAGTTGGGCCATTTTTGTCCAACATTTGGGCTATTTTTTTCCCAACCCGGTTTTTACTACATGTATATTTACCCAATTAATTGTTCAAAATAAGTTGGGCAGATGTTACTGGGCAAACGTAAGTCGGACAAATATCATTCAACAATATAGTTATATTCTTATATTAGAGTTGTCGTGGTCGAGTGGATGTGACACAGGACTGTGGTTCACAGGGTCCGCGGTTCGATTCCCGCCGCGGCACTTATGTCCTTTTTATTTATAATATTATAATATTTTATCCAACTGAATTGCCCAACTAGAGTCTAATATGCTACACATTAGTGTGAGAATTGGGTGAATTTCTCATGTGGTAAATTTTTGCTGGTTAAAGTTTGGGTATTTTCTTTTATCCAACACTGGGTAAATCATGCAAAATCCTAATGGACACATAATCGCCCTCATGTTGGGTAAAAATTGGTCAATTTTTTGCCCAAT